CAGCTTGTTAAGAGAGAAAGAACAGAATAACCTGTGTCGGGTGTGAAGAGACCAACAGAAATCTTAAGAGAGAGAGAGAAGAAGCGTTGCCGCCTGTTATGGCTAAAAATTAAAAAAGAGAAACTCAAAAGGGATCATGTGGTTCTTAATAAAGGTTAGAGCAATTCCTTATCGCTTATTCACATGAATTATATTTATGATAATTAGTATGAACTTTCTTAAACATTTGTAGATATTATTAAATTTGTACATAATCCCTCTATAAAAAATAAGAGTAATGATCCTATAGGACCCTCCCCCACCCATATGTGTAGGACCCCAAGAAATCACCATTAAAGTTGATATGAATCTCTAAAAAAGTTATCACATGGGTGTAAGATTTGACTTTTCTAGAGATCAATGGCAACTTTAATGGTGATCCTTTAGGTCCTACACACATAGGTGGGAGAGGGTCCTATAGGATCATTTCTCAATAAATACAAAAATTTAGATAAAAATTGAAAGATATTTTCTTAGTGTATAATACAAGTTAAATCGTAATTGAAAAAAAGTAATGGGAAAGGTTTCTATACTTCCCCTACAACATAGAATATCTATGCTTCCCCAACCATCCAACTGTCCAATTTTGATCTAGAAAGTAACTCACCGTCTGATCTTAGATCCGACGCTTCAAAGTATTTAATTTTTAGTTTTTTTTATACAAATTGTATGAATATGAAATTTGGTACATGTCATCTTCTCAATAGGGCACACTTATAAAAAATATTAAAAATAATTTCTCAATAAAATATAATAACCAAAATACCCCTTTAAACTTTCAAGGGTATTTTGATCATTTTATTTTATTGAAAATATTTGTTTTATTTTTTAATATTATTCATTTAATGATAATAAAGCCATCCAAAAAATTTGGAAATGAAAAAACCCTTCTAAAGCCTAGATTTAAGCACACCAAAATGAACGGCCGATATTAATTGGGCTAAAAAAATACTTTTTAAGTTGTGTTTTCAAATTTTTATTTTTTGTGAGTGTTCATTAGAATGAAAAGAGTGTATATTTCAAATTTTGGATCAAAAAATGGCCATAATATGGTTTTTGAATGTTGCTGCATCATATTACTATACAACCGTTTTACTATTTTATTGAATAATTTTAAAAAATAGTACTAGATTATCGAATATTTTTTTTTTAAAAAATAATACTAGATCATACTACTTTAGAATCTATTATCAAGTTGTTGTATCAATTATTCCACATTGCAAGTATGAATTTATTGATGTAATTTTATTAAAACATGATTCCAAATTTATATTAAAATTTATATTTCTAAATTTTATATGTTCTTCACATTAATTATTACACATAAGATTAAAATACCCTTGTTTTCTATCAATTAAATTAAAAGGTTCAAAACTATTATAGACTTTTTTTTTTTCACTATAAATTTGAGCCAAAGAGATCCATTCTATTGTGAAGAGTTGCATTTTAAATTTCACTTTGACTATAAAATGAATATACTGGCTAACAAACAATCAGACATGAGACAAGTTCTCAGTATTTATGTATTTTCAATAAAATAATAAAAACTATAATGTAATACCATTATTTAAAAATAAAAATAAAATTGATTTTTAAGAAATTTTAGAATTTTTTTAAAAAAATTTTAATGCCAAATCTTGCCAATCTGGTTGATTTACTGATCCAGAGAGTTGATCCACAGATCTGGCACGGTTTTTGGGTGGTCGATCTGGGTCACCGATCCGTTCTTTTTTACTTTGCTCTAAATCAAAATTCAAAGATATTAATTCAATGAATAGATAAAGTTATAAGAAAGAAGTTTTTGTGGAAAGTTGTTTTGAAGAAAAAAAAAGATACAAATTTATATATGTTTCATTAAAAAAAAAAAAAACCAATTTTTGAAGATCTTTTAAAAAAACTCAGAATTTTTAATAGATTGCAAAAAATATATTTTTTTTTAAAACAATCGTGTTTTAAACATATACGTGCTAACTATGATCTAGAATAGGTCCCTGACAATTCTACATTGAAAAGCAAGTTTTTTAGTATTTTGAAACATTTTTCTTATTAGAATTCCTACTCCAACTCCCTTGACCAATTCAAATCAAGATCATCAGAGACTAGCTCCAAGCCATTGCAAGTCAGTAAATGCTATTTTCAACATCTAAGTTAGATGTTTACTTGTACCCAACCTAACTAACATAGAAACAGTGGGGCAAAACTTCTCACCACCCACATTGATTTATACTCTACTTTCAGCTTTATATACATAGAAGTAATAAACTATTTCTTTTTAAATATATTCTCCCATTACCTTGTTTCCCTTCATAAATGAACAAGACATTCTTTTTTTTATGAAAAAAGTTTATATACGGGTGAGGCCCTAAACAATCAAATTAAAATGCACTTTAAAAATTCACTAGAAGGGATTGTACCGTTGTTGAAGAACCCTCAATTCAATCATCTCGACCTCAAGATGTATGTATATGAGAAAGAATAGATCTCAAGTCATGTAAACAATACATCTTGTAATGTATTATCTAGAGTCTAGACCGTTAATTTTCAAGATTTTCAAGTGTTTATAGATGTGCACTATCTACACTATTATTTAATCTTAAAATTTTGTTATTAGATGTAAAAATAAATTGTCAAGCCATCACAAAGATTTCTAATGCTAAAACAATATATTTTAGTTTTATTTGAAGGTGCGGTTTATTTTAATTGTTCAGGGCCTCAGCCTTATACAAACCGTACCCTTTCTTTATTTGTGGATTTGGCCAATTTCTCCCTCGAATCCTGATTAGCTACCATCTTGTAGATGTTTGGCGTACCAAACATGAGGAACGTTGGACCGATTCACATTGTTTTGTACGCCATTTAATACCAGAGAGCGAAATCCTGATTAGCTACCATCTTGTAGATGTTTGACGTACCAAACATGAGGAACGTTGGACCGATTCACATTGTTTTGTACGCCATTTAATACCAGAGAGCGAAAGGACAATGAATTCCTAAAGTAGGGGGACTTCTTGCTTTCTAATTGGTACATGGTGAAATCCGCATTCTGGCACGGGGTGGGGCCAGGCCGGCACTAGCCTTAGCCCGTCCCCAACCCGAGCCCGATCCTCAAGCTATAGTTTTTGACTTAAGACTTACTTTTTTAGAGCCAGGTTGATTGGGCCAGGTTGGGTCGCCCAGCTCATTGCCAACCACACTTAGGGTAAGGCGACAATAGGAGGCAAAGTGGCTTTGCTTTCTTGGGTGAAGCCTTTTTAAGGTATTAACCCTATACTATTGAAATAATATGCACCTCAAAGCTATGCTGGAATATATAGTTTGGATCTTTAGTAAAATTTAAAGTTAGAAAATATGCATCGGAGAAGATCTATAAAAATTTAAAACTTTAAGGGTGTTGTTTGTATAAAGCTGAGGCCCTGAACAATCAAAGTAAAACATGCCTTCAAATAGTGCCAGGATATGTTGCTTCAGTATCAAAAATCTATGTGATGACCTTAAAATTTATTTTATCTTGAATTATAAAATTTAAATATTTAAAAATAGTATAGATCGAGTAGATATATGAATACTTAAAAATCTTGAAAATTGACTGTCTAGAAACAAAAAAACAAAAAAAATGTAAGTAAGTGGAGATTTGGGCCCAACTTTTTTGTAAGAATAGAATCAGAGACTTCATCATAAGGCTCATTGGTAGTATGGCCAAGGCCCCAACCCATTCTCGAAAGTGGTAAGTCAATGAGGATTTGGTCCATACCCTTTGATGAGAATGGTGCCAGGGAACTCATCATGGGAATTGATGGGTCCAGATATACATTACAAGATACTATTTTCAAATTTTAAAAATTAGTTTTTCTCATTTCCATACATCTAAAGGTCTAGATGATCGAATTGAGGGTTTTTCATCATCGAAATAACCACCTCTTGTGAAATTTTTGAGTTACAACTTAATTTGATTATTTAAGGACTTACCCTCATATAAAATTTTTCCTACAAGATATATTATTTTTCCGACTTAAAATATTTTTTTCTTTTCATCTCCACATGTCTAGAGATTGAGATGATCAATTGAGGGATTTTTAGTTAGGAACCAACCTTATCTAATGGACTTTTGAGGTGCACCTTACTTTGATATTGTAAAGTTGACACCTTATATAAATCTTTTTTATATAAATCTTTTTCTATTTTTTGGGTGAGGTTTATAGGTACATATCTTATACTATACTAGCAAGGTGGATCTCTAACTTTTGCCAATGTAAGTCTAGTGTCGAAAACCTTATGATAATTTGAAATCTATGTCAAACCTTAATTATGAATTTCAAAACCTGAGTCAAACAGATCTACAAATACTAAAAAATATCAAAATCATGTAGTCCAAATAACTTGTTACAATATATATACCTTTTTAAAACTTAATCTTTCTTATATTTATATTCATATTCGTATTCATATATCTCATAGTCAATTCAAACAATTTTCAAGTTCCACGTACTCCTTTTTTATATATTGTTTAAGTGCACCTTACTTCTACACCATAAAGTTTCAACTTTGTATAACATGGAGGTAGAGGTGGCAAGGGAGGTAGACCCGACTGGGGACCCAAGGGGTAGACCCAATCCGGGGTAGGGGTCTAAAAGTTGGACGGGTCAGGTGCCGAGTCTCACAATATATTTTTTGGTCCATGTTGAATGAATTCGAGTCTCACTCCCTGAATGAATTCGAGGCCAGTGAGGTCCGTCCATTGAATTGGGCCTGGACGGCCTGACCCGTCCCGTTGCCACCCTTAATTCTACAGAGAGAAAGGGTGATAGATGTTTGCCATGCTTTACGCCGTACCGTGCGGCTTTATGAGAGCGACAGTGAGTTTGTGAAAAAATGGATAAACGTGCAATGTTTATAAGAGAGAGACTTAACATCGATCACCATCTTTAGAGAGAGAGAATGAAAATAGGGACGCCTAAGGTTTTGGTTATCAGTTGATCCACCTCCTAATTGGGGGCCTCAGATTTGCTCGAATATAGCTGAATTTGAGAAAGAAAACTTGATATCTTTAATGCATCTACGCATGATATCATCATATAAGCTAGAAGGTGGTATCTGTAAAGTTAATGATATCATCATATAAGCTAGAAGGTGGTATCTGTAAAGTTAAATTCATGTATAAAAGTTAGAAGGAGAAAAATAATGTACATGACAATCGAAACTTTGCTTTCAGTACAAGGAAGAAGTAATCGGGCCTCTGGTTAAGGGTCAACAAGGAAAAATATCACCACTTTTTGTTTCATCTTCCCTCGAATTCTCTCTGTCTCTCTCAAGGAAAAACATCACCACTCTTTTGTTTCATCTTCCCTTGAATTATCTCTCTTGCTTTTTTTTTTTGGAAGGTTCTCTCTCTTGTTTGTGTAAAACAACCCATTCTCTCTCTCTCTTGCTTGTTTGGGCATAAAAGAAGGAAACCCATCTTCCTGTTTTCTCTCTTCTGATAGACTCTTCTGTTCTCTCTACCTCTATCGCTTGCTCTGTTAAGCTCTGTTCGGTGGAGCTCTTGTTTCTAAGCACCCATCATCGCTTCCAGGCTTTTCATCTCTAAATTCAGCAGAAGCTTCTTCTTCTTCTTTCCTCTTTCTCTCTTTGATTCTATAACCGTTCCGCTGTCTTCTTCATCTTTTATTTGCGATGAGTGATGGGGAGCAGAAGTGCCTCGATGGGGAGATGAGTGATAAGGAGCAGGAGTGCTTCGATGGGGAGATGAGTGATAAGGAGCAGGAGTGCTTCGATGGGGAGATGAGTGATAAGGAGCAGGAGTGCTTTGATGGGGAGAGCGCGGTGGCTCTGGTATCCGAGCTTAGAGCGAGTTTCAGGAGTGGTAAGACTAGGAGTTATGAGTGGAGAGTGCAGCAGGTGAAGCAGTTGATCAAGATGATTGATGAGAAAGAGAAGGAGATCATGGAAGCTCTTTATGCCGATCTCGCCAAGCCCCAATTCGAATCCTACCTTCATGAGGTTTCTCCTCTCTCTCTCTCTTCTCCCTCCTCTCTCTCTCTCTCTCTCTCTCTCTACTCTACTCTACTACTTACTTACTTACTTACTTACTTACTTACTTACTTACTTACTTACTT